TGGACCACTTCACGTAGTCCTCGTCCATGAATACAGCATCCCAGGCCGCATTACGAGTAGATGGCCTTGACAGTGCCTCCTCAACGGAGTGCATCATGTAGTGAAGCTTGGGTCGGCATTTGAACAACAACTCCTTCTGCGCTGCAGCCTCATTGGCGAGCTTGACATAGCAGTTGAAAAACAACCTTCCAGTCGTATGGATGTGGTATCTTTCGTCCTCCGAAAGAAAAAGCGAACCGCGCAGCATGCAAGAGACAAACGATTCCGCAGCCCAGACTGTCACCGTCATGCCAGGGTATTTCGGCGGAGGCTTCTGTTGGAGCTTTTGTGTCAAGTATGCATGGAAGACGAGGGCATCAGCTGCTGAACATCTAAGTTCAGGGCACCTGCTCGATTCCCACCGGAGGTTGGACTTTTTGAGCCCTTTCAGGCTCAACTGTTTGTTGTTCTGCTTCGCAAAGTCCTTAGCTTCCCTGTAGAGACTCTGCAATCTCTTGGGGATGCTGGATCCTTGAAAGTATGTTCTCGACTTGCAAAGCACTTTGATAACTGAGCCTAGAAGGTCCCTCAGACATCCTAAATGCCAGTTGTGCATGAGGTCGGAGGTGATGAACTGGTCTGTGTAGCCTCGCAGTCGTGCCAGCTCGGGCATGACATCATACGGACTTTGATAGTACAGTGTACTCCTCCACGCTGCATTAGGACATGTGTCTGTGTACACCAGGTCGAACCGGTCGCGGCCCATAGTGGCTGCACACTTGAAGCACACCTCGGTACCGTCTTGTTTACACATTGTACACGTAAGTTGAGCGATGTTGACCCTATACCGATAGCCCCACTAGTAACATAAATCCTTGATCCTTCAAGCTAGCCGAGTACAGCCATCACAACCTGAATATTCAAAGAGCCTTATTTCGGAAATCATTAAAATGATTTCCTAGGTGAACGAGAAGAAGCCTGTTCGCATCCCGGCTTGCGAACGAGACTGAAGGATTGTGCAAGGAACTTCATATCCCCCTTGACGCCGACGACATAGAACCAGTACCTTTCCTCAGACATATCTAGGCAAGCAGCTTAGGCAGCTTGCTTCAATCTTGTACTAAAATGTACACATATACAGTACAACACAATTCGATAATTTTAAGATTCCCCGGTGGAGAAATGATGAAGTCCCTCATCGGAAAGCTTGTTCAAGTCCTCCACCACGGTAGCCCAAAGAGCTTGGAGCGTGTGGTTGATTTTGCCCGCGTCGTCAGTACTCTCAACAACGTAGCGATGTTCAGGCACGCTGAACATGATATTTCTAGAAGCTTTGCTGTTCGATCGGAGAGGGCACAGGTCTGGCATCCTGAGTGTGGGCACAAGTTGGTTGCATTACTTGAAGTCTGGTTTCATAGCCTAATTTTCTACTCTAGAGCGTGTCACGGTAAAGGCTAGGCCAAACTTCCATGTTGCGACCATCCAGCTCTCACCGAGAGCATTGCCTTCATCACCCCACAATATAATGGGTATGCTGCGGCCACGTCGTTCAGGATGATTGTGCAAAGGGTGACTGGGGTAGTCTTTCAGCATGTTTTCCCAGTACGGTTCTAAGGTGCCAGGAGGACACAACTGCTCCATAAACTCAGCCATCCAGCACGTAACCTCAAGCATTGCTCTATTGACATCATTGAGGTCTTCGAACCCTAGAAAGCTCATATTCAAAAAAATTAAAGGATTATTGCCAAAAAGGGTCCATCCCACTGGGCAGTAAGACAGGCCAGGTTTCTATAGACTCAACTCGCTCACCATCTTCATTCTCCACACTGACTGGGATGTTTGTGTAGCTGGTCTCGCAAGGAAAGCCAACTCCAGCCCCAGCGATGCGCTGATGGAATTCTGACTCTCGGAGCGGCCTTGAGGCATACCCTTCCAAAAGGTCAGATCCATAGATTTCTCCTGGGCCCATAATTAAGTAGAGGTTCGGGAGGTGGTGAGGCTGGATGGGGTTCCAGGTTTGTGTGAGGGCTCAGGGTCGAGGGCTTATGGGTCGAGGGCTTTACACGGAGCTATACAGATACACAAATACACACTGTAGTGGAGTCTAGTTTTGGGGTTAGGGCTCCATGGAGGCTTCAGGTTTCAATTTGTCCTTTCGGGAGCTTCGCCCGCGCGCCAACCCAATCTGATCCGGGTTTCTTTATTAGACGGTGGGTGTTTGTGCAAGAAGTATGGAGATCGAACCCACAGCCTGAGAGGGAGGTAGTTGTGAAAACCTAGGTTAAGTAGAAACAAACACAAACCCCAAACCACAACCTTAACTTTAAAACGCTACTCAGAATTCCCTGCGACTTACCCTCGTGCTCATAGCTATACTACTAGTACTGCCAACGATCTCCCTATCAGTCGGCGGCATCGGCTACTGCTTCTGAGCAATTACACAACACAAGCCCCAGCCTAACGTAAGCAGAAGCCGTATGCCAATATCCCAACACGACAGACCCCTTAGGTAGAATTCGATGTATGTGAACGCATTAGCGAGTGCACTTCAAGCGAATCCCTCAATGCCAAACCAGCAATGTCAACCCTAAACCCTAAACCTTAATCCCTAAACCCTAAACCCTGAACCCTAAACCCTAAACCCTAAACCCTGAACCCTAAACCCTAAGCCCTAAACTTCACCAGAACCGCGCAAGCGCCCTTTAATGGAGTGTTTAGGGTCCTTACTGGTGTGTGTTCAGGGTACCCAGAGAACCCAATACCCCTATAATTAAGGAAGATACCCTAAATTACGTTATTATAAGGGCCTTAATGTTAAGTTACGATTTGAGGTATAGTCCTTTACTAAGGCGTATTGGGTTCTCTGGGTATGGTACGGTTTCTTGCTTTGGGGGCTAGGTCCTGGACTGATGCAATAGGAACTATAACATCTATAAAGACTTCCCTTCGATGACTTTATGAACTGCGACCGCAAGGGAAGGCCGCGCCAATGTAATAGGGATCCTTTGTCAAGAAACCCACAGCTTGCCTTGGTTCATTGCAGAACTTGCACGAGGGTTTAGGGCATAGGGTCAAATGCCAGTGGTAGCTGCACTCCCTTATCCCTAGAACCCAAACCCTAAGTGGGTTGCGTCTTGAAGGAGTCGGAGATTCAAAGACAGAGCGGTAAGGGCGAGCAGGAGGAGATGCCATAGAACGGGGACATAGGGCAGGTCCGGTGTAGGACTTAGGGCTTAGGATTTTAGTCAGCGGCCCTTAATAATTACCTATACGATTTTGTGGGTTACCCCATAACCCTATTCTGAGTATTAAGGCCACTACATTAGGGTCACGGGCTTCGAGTTTAGGATCAGGGACCTAATTAAGAAAGCCTGGCCCTATAACCCCAACAAAATATTAGCATGCACTTAGAGGCCCCTAAGAAAGACCCAGGTTAGCCGGGTTCCTACATTATGAGATTCAGGGATCGGTTTGCACTCGCTTTCGTCAACGAAACGTGAAGACAGCTCATATCGGGCGGCGAGCCCTGCGCACCCCCTGCCTAAACCCTAAACCGGAGACTCCCCTAAACCCTAAACCGGAGGAGGTCTGAGGCCGGAAGCCTTCAGGG